GACCGGCAGCAGGAAAGTGCGTGTAGGTCACTCATCTGGTCTTCCCGGGACTATAACCACCGTCAGAGTCCACCAGGGAGGGCACCCCAAGGTTTAACCGGCTTTGGGGTTCCGGAAGGCTGTCATTACCCAAGAGTGCCTGTGCCCAGAGAGGTAGGACCCAGGCGCCTTGAGGCTCTAGTGGACAGCCTGGAGGCACCGCGAGGTACCTGGAGGGAATTCCTTAGAGAAGCCGACGCTCTATGGGTCCCACCAGAGCTCTCAGAACTGGAACCAACACACTCCACGCTCAGTGGAAGTGGGAGCTATATGGGGGAGGTGGCCTCACCTCCCTGCCTGTCCAGGGGAGGTCGGGAGGATGTGAGGGTAGAGGGACCTGGAGAAATCATGGAGTCAGACCCAGATTTCCTCCCCAGGAACCATCCAGGTGGCCAGTGGAGAGGAGGGAGACCCTCCGGCGTCCTCTTCTCTCTGCCTTTGACCCTGGGCGTGGAGGTGTGTGTGTGTGTGTGTGTGTGTGTGTGTGTGTGGTGGGAGGGTGTCTAGGGACCCTCCGGTGTGCCAGCTTCAACTTTGGCCTGGGCCCTTTGGAAGGACTCAAATTCCTCAGTCCGGACTAGAGTCGACTGCGCCCAGCAAACCGTGGATTCGAGGCTAGTGAGGTGGAGGTGCCTGAGTTTGACGCCAGGAAACAGACCATTGGTTCCACGCACACGATTACTGGATGGGCCACTCTGAACAAGTCACTTCTGAACTCGATCTCATCTGTAGATTGGGCACGGTAATCCCTCCCATCCCAACTTCACAGGGGCACTGAGCTCAAAAGAGACACGGGGAAACGCTCTGTGTCAGAAAACGCTGCGCTCTCAGGCACTGGTGGCACTGGAGAGCTGAGGTCTCCAGCGTGGAGCGGTGAGGACGCACCTAAGGGGACACCACAGTCCCCCATTCTTATTCCCCTTTTTCCTTCTCCACGTCAGTTTGTCTTTCACTCTCTTCCGGTCCCTTTGCCTTCTTAGTGTCCTTGTCTACCCTCCGTGTGTCCCTCCTAGAGTCCCGCTCCCTTCTGTGGCCCCCACCTGGGTGTCTGACCACCCTCCCCCCCCCCGGGGGGCCGCCAGGGCGCTCTCTCACCTGTCCAGGGAGACAGCAGCCAGCGTGAAGCTGCTGGCGTACATGGTGAGGAAGATGAGGAAATGCACGGCCTTGCAGAGCAGCGAGCCGAACACCCAGCCGTCCAGGGTGTAGATGGTGGCCTGGAAAGGCACGCAGCACACGATGAAGCACAGGTCGGCCACGCCCAGGTTGAGGATGAACAGGTTGGTGGTGCTGACCGCCTGGCCGCCGCGCAGCAGCACGGCCAGCACCAGCGCGTTGCCCACGGTGCCCACCAAGAAGATGAGCACGAACAACATGGGCACGATAACCGCCTCGGGCTGCCAGCTGTCCCTGCCATTCGCCTCACTGGCGTCCTCGGCCCGCGGGCCACCCGAGCCATTCATGGCGTCCCCGACCCCGAGGCTGCCAGGGCTCCTGCCGCCGTCTGAGTTCTGGCGAGCGCGCAGCTCCCGCGGCTCCAGCCGCTGCAGGCGAGTCGCCGGAGCTGCGGGCGGAGTGAGCCTCGCCTGGCTGGGGCGGGGAGGTGGGGGTGCGCTGGGGTCAGGGGGAGGAGCGAGCAGCCCGAGGGGTGGGTTAAGCCCCGCGCTGGGGGGGAAGGGCTCTCGGGTGGCCCACTCCGGGGACAGGGGCCGCTGGTGCCTGCTCCCCCGTCGGCGCGCTCCAGCACCCAGCCGGCCGGTGTCACGCCGAGAGAGGAACTGACCTCCGGGCCGTGCG